TTTTTTTATTTATTGGGCACGTTTTCTGTATTTGCATTTAATTTGAGCGCAATTTCTGATGAAAAGAAACAAATCTAGGAAAAGAAATAACAATTATTAGGAATTGGTAATTAAGTTAAATAATTACAATTTTTCAGAAGCAAAATCGAAAGGCGCCATATAAAAAATGCACGCAAAGAATAAATGTCTGGCAACACCAGCAAAGTTTTGAGACGATTTTGCGACGACTGCTAGAGAGGGGTGCTCACAGTTTGATGCTAAAGATGTCTAAAAATGTAGACGTCTACATTTTCAGACACAATTTGGAACGAACTGTGAACACCCCAAATACCATGGAAAAGCGATAATCGAATAATAGTCTCTACTACTATAGAATCTACTACCAGTCGACACTCGCAATAGGGGTGAAAATATCACCAGCCTTGCTGGCTAAATTTGTATTTGCCACCAAAATAAACAATGTTGCTACTCTGAAGAATTCTGCGAAATGAGAAAATAGCTGTCAAGCAAGAAAACTGACAGTTGAAAGCAAGTGAGAGCTCGCAAACCAAGGCGCATCAATACAAGGTGGTGTTGATTGATCAGCTGATTGGATATTTTTGTCTCTACACTAGTACAGGAGAATGTCATCCAAGACGAAGCGGCGCAACTTTAGGATGTCAACAAAAGAAAATGATGAAAATTATCTCCTATTCCCTTTCGTTTTGACATCCTCCTGTACCAGAAAGCAGTAACAAAATACACGGGACTTTTACTTATATGCAATCACCACCACCTTGTATGGATGCGCCTTGTCGTAAACCGTTCGGTATGCGAGAAAAAGTATTTTGGAAAATACTGCGGCAACGCGAGGCGAACAACAAGAAAATGGCAGAATGTTCGAGGAATGACGTAGAATATTCGAGAGCGAGAAACGTCAAGTTGATGAATACTGCGAACAGCGAGAGAATGTGCGATAGACAACAGAACGTTCTAGAGTCGCCATGAGTTCGAGCGCAGGTATATAAGATCGCTGCTACAGCAAGCTACAAGTCAGTCAGTTGCGAAACAGCAAGCTACGAACAAGTTGTGAACAATGTTGCCGTTTTAGCCCTTTGGTGGCAAGATTTAGCTACCACATACTTTTTTTGGATACATAAATTTAAAATTGCCCCTAGCCCTTTGGAGAATTTATTCATACTTGGCATGAAAAATTTGCTTAATGTGATCTCATTTATTTCATTTATGTAAGAGATGAATTTTTAAATTAAAAAAGGCTCATATATATATACATATATGTATTGTATGTTCCTTACGTTTTTATATATGCTTAATTTGTTAAGTGGACTGTGAGAAATTAGTATGATTTTTATTGTGTTAAGTATGTCCAATCATTTGTTATTTTTACTCAGTCAGTCCTTTGTAATAGTCATTCAGTCTGTCGTTTGTAATAGTCATTCAGTCGGTCTTGTAATAGCTTAAGTTTTGGATTTGCTAAATAAATTTACAACCCTGTGTTCTACTTTCGCTTTGCTCTGTTTCGCGATCCCGCTAATTGAATTGCCATATAAATTCGGGCAACGGCACAAATTTTCATCCATCACGCGAGCAAACCGAGGGTAGAACACTGGAAAATAAACTTGCGCAAGTGCGCATGTTAAACCAAAATCTCGGTGTCGTGATACGTTTTATTTTCCATTTTACTTGTTCGTCGCCGAAGTATACACGCTAATTTGCCGCCATTTCGTCATCGAGTGTGCTAATTTGCCGCCATTTAGTCATTCGCAATTTCACAAGAAAGCGACTGCCGACTTTGTGCCAATTTTAACTGGCAGTATTTGAAGCGAGGGATCACATTTGTCATAGCACACAAATTTGCCGTTTGATCATCAAATTATAAGGACTTTGGAATGGAGCGTTCGGCTGTACGTCGGAGTAAGCGCAATCAGCCAGAAGGCCTAGTGCCTGCCATTCAATCGCCAGGCAGCTTAGCGAAGATTGCCGCCACGTCCGCTAAAGCTGCCGAACACCATAGCGCTCCATCGCCCAGTGCCATGAAACTTAGTGGGCCGGGCACTCAGCCGTCCAGTGCTCCACCAACCAATGCCTCGACATTCAGCGCCTCGCAGTCTAGCGCTCCGCCGNAATCGTCAGGCAGCTTAGCGAAGATTGCCGCCACGTCCGCTAAAGCTGCCGAACACCATAGCGCTCCATCGCCCAGTGCCATGAAACTTAGTGGGCCGGGCACTCAGCCGTCCAGTGCTCCGCCAACCAATGCTTCGGCATTCAGCACCTCGCAGTCTAGCGCTTCGACATTCATCGCTCCGCATTCTAGCGCTCCGCCGTCCAGTGGTTCCACATTCATCGCCCCGGAGTCTAGCGCTCCGCCGCCCAGTGCCATGAAACTTAGTGGGCCGGGCACTCCGCCGTCCAGCGCTCCACCAATTAATGCCTCAGCATTTAGCGTCTCGCCAGCTAGCGCCCTTCCATCCTGCGTTATGCCACCTCCTGCGCCAGCGTATAGCGCTC